GAATTCCTTCTTTACAAAATGAGGTGCTGGGCAGGGTTGAGCTGGCCCACTTCAGAGCACAATACCCTTGGTCTAAGGGCCCCTTTCTTAGGAACGGTAAAGGCACCTGGAAGGTTGTTGAGCAGGCAAGATTCTGTGAATGCAAAAGACCTTTGTGACTCTTCCTAACTCTTAAAATCTCACCCTCACCCAAGAGCCTATAATAATGAAGCCTATAATAATTTTGTTCAAAAGAACAAATTTGTGAAAGACTGTAATGTTATGACCATTTTACAGATGTAAACACTGAGGCCTGATGACTTGCCTGAAGTCACACAATTCACGAGGGACTCCATCCCAAATCTGACAGCAAGCAGGGTCCTCTCTCACAGCCTCTGCAGGAGCAGAGAGACTGAGTCAGCAGAGTTTTGGTCTGCCCCCTGAGAATCTAGTCTGCTGACTAAGAATGTACATTTCAACTTTGCTGGCTGTGAAGCTGATGGGCAAGACCTCTGTCTTTCCTTCTCCTCCAGAACTGGGATAGGGTTGGGTCTCAGGTTGGGGAATTATTTTTCTTTTAGTCTTTCATAGCCTAGGCTTGACCAAGGATGGCCCTGAACTCCTGATCCCCCTTTGACTACTTCTTAAGAGCTGGGATTGCATGAGCTACCACATGGGAAGCCATCTTTGAATCTTCCTTCTTCCAAAGGTGCACAGGTGGTATTCTTAGCTGAATGGCCCAGTTTCTTTCTGTTAGAAAGATCTCCCTAGGCTTTCTCTGGATGCAGACTGAACATCACTGACTTTTTCTTGATTTTTTTAGAAAGCGGAGTATAAACACATTTTAACATTTCCATTATTGATTCATTTATGTGCACAGTATATGTATGGATATATTATATACTCTCAATAGTTTCAGGGACTTCTTGAACTTGGAGAGCAAATGCTGTCCCAAGATGCCCAGGTGAAGACCCTACATTTGTGTCACAGAATGCAATCTCCAGTCCTGGACCCTCAGTGGCCACTATTGGCCCATGCTCTGACTTCAGTGGGAAAGAATCAGGCTTGCCTGGTATTAGGGGCGAGATGATGCCTATGAGGGTGACGATGGTGACTCTTCCTTCTCTTGACTCAGCCCACCTCAAAAGAGCTCTGGAGTCTGGGACCCTAGAGGACCCCACAGCCTGATCAGATATGGATACAGTTTTAGCCTTGTCTTTTGGGATTAGAACTTGAAATGTGATGAGTAGAGAACGAAACACCAGAAGCAAGGAGTCCGTGTTGCTTTTGTTTGCTGCTTCTTGGAACAAAGTGTTCCTGTCTCTTGTCTCCTTTTTTTTTTTTTTTTTTTTTTTTTTTTGGACCACTATCTGGAAAGTAAAAGTCCTAAAGGGAATGGTTTAAGCCTGCGGTGTTTGCATCTCAACCAGCAGAGAAGTGTGACCTCAGCCCACTAACCACTGCTCCAATTACCCATTTACACCCTCCAATTAGGCGCTGGGGACTCGTTGCTCTTGCAATTAGCTGCTGACAGAAATCACTTGCACGTGTTCTCCTGTAGGCTGCAAAGGAGGTAGCTGTTAAAACATCTGGACCACAGTATCTTGGGAGAGAAACTTGGAGATCCAGAGATTCACTGGGTGAGGGGGACATGGAAAATGTGTCTCCCCATCCCTCCTTGCTTCTAAAGGGAGAAAGAAGCAAGTTCTGAGAGGCTACCTTTAAAAAACCCAGTGGAGAATGTGAGGATCTCAGGCCATGCTGAGTCATCTTTGTGGTTACAAGGGGCACAGGCTTTCCTGCTAGGGGTGGAGTCCGTTCTTCTCATGCTCTTACGTGGGGTGCCCTGTACCCCTTTCCTACTAGGCCAGTGGAGTTCACGCTTTCTTGATAGCTGTGAAGTTTTCTCCACATCCTAAGTAACCTTGGGCAAGTTACTCAACTTCCCTGGGTCTGAAATTTTTTTATATTAAAATGGGACTAATAGCACCCGGTTTATCCTGCAACATTGTGAAGTGAAAATGTTCCAGTCCTTTCTACGTTGCTATCACACAATAAAGCAATCAATCGCACTCTTTAAATTTTCCCCCTCACATAGTCTAGCAGCTTATTTTATATGCAATACTGTGTTTATATTGCTTTACAGTTAAGAACTTTATTTTGCAATTAGAACAGCAGTTCCTTGTGGCCTTTGGTTTCTCACCATTGACTGAGTCCAAAGAGGTAGCCAATGAGTCTTTGACAAGGCTGTGATGTAAATGTAGATCAGATGGTTTTCAAGGGTTTGCTTTTCTAGGGCCTGGAAAGATGGCCCAGTGTAGCTAAGAGCACTTGCTGATCTAGTAGAGGACCCTAGTTGGATTCCTAGCACTCATGACTGTCAGCTCACAATTGCCTGTAACTGCAGATCGAGGGGGATCTGGCACCCTCTTCTGGTCTGGTTGGGCATTGCACTCATGTGCACATATTTCCACACAGATACACACATACAAATAATTAAAAAGAAAGTAAATCTTAAAAAAAACAACTTAGATAATTTTTCTATCCTTCCAACTCAAAATTTAAAAAATTATGAAGTGTTGTCTTTGCAGTACCATTTTAATGCGTGGAGCCCACCCTCAATGCCTCTTTCTAGGACTCTTTTTCACACGAACATGAGTAGGAATGGGGAGGACACAACAGAATTTCTATTCTACCCCCAGTCCTTGTCAAGACTTCTTTGTAGGGTGTTAGGCATCTACCTGTGATATTCTCTGGTTTGTGGTGACAGTCGTACTGGGTCCCTTTAGAAAATCACTCCAGACCTACAACTTGAATGACATTTCCCTTACTTTTGTGAGAATCCTTGCCTTAGTTCCAGAGAGAGGCTGGCAAGAAATACACCATGCTTCCAAAGTCCTTCTAAAACCCCTTATTTTGGATACATCACAATATGCTCTGCCTTGTGCCATGCTGAACCTTGTGTATGGCTTCCCGGACGCAGCTTCCTGGCGTCTCCAATGACTCACCTACTGTCTCCACTGATAGATTCTCCATCCTCCAGGTAGGATGGTAGTCTTCGCCTACTATTCCCTAGACTGTCTAGCCTTGTGAGTGTGCCTACTTATCTAGGCATGTCTTCCCTTCTAGGTAGCCAAAGCAAAATGATACTCTCTCGGTATCCCTGATGACCTAGGTATTAATTGCTGGCATTTAGTTTCTGCTTTAGCAGCCCCATGATCTATAAATTAATATTCTATTAAACCTTCCCGACTTTCAGATCATCCCCAGGTGAGACTTTCTAGGATCTTAACTGGCTGTCTTTGGCTAGAGATAATAATGTGTCTCCAAGTGTCTTGTGTGGAGTGGCTGGGAAGTAGGGACAAAGTCACACTATGGGGACAATCTGGAAAAGAAACTGGGTCCCAGGACTCTCTATGTTAGCTTCATTGGCTGAACTCTATCCCAGCCATGGTCAGCCTGGGGAGGGAGGGGGCAGGTTTCATGCTGTGCCATACTGTGCTGTAACTGTAGTCATACACATTGTACCTCCCTGTACTAGCCACTAGTCTAAGTCCTTACAGACCCTTGTCAGTTCTAGTGACAACCCTGAAAAGTAGAAATTATTGCCTCCAGTTTACAACTGAAAAGCCTGGGCTCATGGAGGGTGGCTTGCGCAGTGTTGCTCTCAGCTATCAAGTGGCAGAGTCAGGACTCAAACCCACACAGGCTGACACAGGACATTCTTGCAAAGGAACGTGTGGCCAAGAAATCAAGATCCTGCATTTGTCTTTATCGGAGCCATTTCCCTGCTCAGTAAATGAAGCCCTGCGGTCTGTCCTATCCTGCTGGTCCTCAGCTTACTCAACCACGGAAAACAGGTCTATTTGTGACTGCGTCTGATGGGGAAGGCACTGGGTAGATGACGCATGGAGCAAGAGGCAGATCTGTGTGCTGGCCTGGCACCTGCCGCCCACTGTGGTATGTGACACTGTAAAGAAGTCTAGACTGTCCCTCAGTTTCCCTGGCTGAGATTCTTGGCCCCAGCTGTCATATCTGTGGGCTCTTAGTCATTGGTTTTTCTGACTTCAGTAACCCCCACTTTTGACATCTGTCACAGCCTCACTGGGCTTAATGCTTAAACAGAGGGATTGATACAAGACAGGAGAGGAGAGGCCTGAGGTGATGGCTGCAGCATGGTGTCAGAATCTGCTCTCCTGTGACAAATGATATACTAAGATCTCTCACTGGTTCAGCTACACCAGGGGCATCTGTACACTTCTTTCGATTGCCCAAGGAGGTGAATTTTAGCATTGGCTGAAACTTTTGAGCCTAACCTGCCTCTCAACCGATCCTGTTACTCAATTTCTTTGACCCTCTGTATCCTCAGGAGCATTGCAGAAAAAAATGCCAGCTTGTGAGAAGTCAGAAACTGGAATGATTAAATGGAGTAAAGCAGGCCACATACGTGAAGCCCCTAGCCCAGTGCCCAGGCACACAGACGATGCTGTCTTCTGGTCGGAGGGGGAGAGGGAGAGGAAAGAGGGCAAGCCCCAGGTCAAGGTCTTCCAACGATTCAGGATAAGCCTTGTGTCATTCTGGGTGCCAAGCAGCTGTGGCTTGGGAGAATTACGTTTTCCCAGGCTCTTCGAGGGCTTGCTGGGTGGATGGTCACCTTCTCTTATGGCCACAGAAAAAGGATGGGGCAGAGGGAATTTTCCTCGGGGTGCTTCGGGAAAGCAGAATTCTGAAGCCTCCGGCAGAGGGGTGAAGACCCGGGGAGGCTGTGCCTGAGCCAGTTGAGAAGTGCGCTGACTGCCAGGACCAGGACAGCCACCGGGATCGCCGGGGAGAGCAGCCTGGGGAGAGGGGGCAGGGCGCTGTCTGTCTCGGGGTTGGGACGGGAGGGGGGGTGGCGAGGTGCGGGGAGGGAGATGACTTTTAAATGAGTGTAAAATTCTAAGAGCGCAGAAGACAGAAGGGAGGGAGGAAAGGGGTGGAGAGAGAGAGGAGGAAGAAGCGGGAGGAGGGAGGGTATAGGACACCGATTAAAAGAGGGTGGGAGGGAGCAACTGACGGGCTCAAATGACAGTGGGCAGTTGAACGGCAGCCAGAGCCTGAAGAAACCAACGCCAGGGAGGAGGAAAAGCAGCAGGTAAGGGTGGACTTGAACTTTAAAAGCTAACACTGCACATCAGCGGGAAGTAGCTCAGAGACCGAGACTTGCCTCTCCAGAGGCTGGATCAGAAGCAAGTCTTCCTCCGCGTACCTGTGATTCCCTACCCGTCCCTATTCCTGCCCTAGTGAAGCTTGGCTAAATTAAATAGGAAGGCTGGCAAATCTACTGATTCCTGGTCCCACGGAAATGCGAGTGGGGCCAGGGCCCCTCGGGTCACAGGCTGCCCCTGTGGAATTGCCGTGCTCTGGGGGCATCTTAAGAAGTGGGTCACTAGTTCATTTCCAAGAACTTTCTGTAAGTGGGAATTAGCCCTTTAAAAACAAAAACCAGCAGTGTTTTACAATGTTTTCTCTAGGCATGGGATCTCTTTTTTGGAAATGCTTTCCATGGAGTCTAGGAGAGCACTTTGGGTTTTTTTTTTCTTTCATAAGGCATGTTGGACAGTTTAAAAATATTCTCTGCTTAGCTTCCTGCTGTGTAGCTTGCCCCCACTGTTCAGTGGTCATGTACAAGAATCCCGGTCGCCCCTGAGGTCAGGTGAAAGAGACCTTGAGATCCAATCCGAGGGAGGAGGCCTGGAGGGCTCCATCCTACCTGAAGGCAGCAGAGCGAGGCAGCGACTTCTGTCAGTTCCCTCCTTTGCTTCTGATCATGTGGCAATATAATCCAGACTTGGGGGCTCGGAAACCTGGGGCTGGTCCCCTAAGTAGCTATGTGACCTTGGGTGTGACACTTCCTCCTTCTGGTTCTCATTGTTCTCCCATGAAATGTTGGAAGTTAGAGGGACCCTCTCTGGTCCAGTTAGTAGCAACACCATGCAGAACTGATTCCATGGGCTCCAACGCAACTCAGAACCAACTATAAAGCATCACTCGACACAGGGTTTCCATTCTTCGTTCAGTTGGTGCGCTCCCTTCCCAGTGCCCCATCATCATGTCCATCATAGGGATTCCTGGTGACTCCTCAGCTCATCACTAACCTGGGTGCATCCTGGCCAGGGTTTAGGGATAGCACGGCCAGACCGGCCTGAGAGAAGGATGGTCAGTGGGAGAGCACTGGACAAAGGGCCAGGGGACCTGAAACCCAGAGATGCTCACCAGGGTGGAGACCAGGGCTGCTGAGTGCGGGCAGCTTCTTGACTGGCCCCGCCCTGTGGCTGGCAGGCACACCAGCTTGACTTTCACAGTAGCGACTTAGGTGGCCTCCATCTTCCCTAGCCATTGTCCCCAGAGTCTTAACCCAACCCAGAGCCTGATTCACTGCTCTCTAGGGACAGACTCTGGACTTTGTACCTTCCTGTCAGGTCTCCACCCCACCCCTGGGGCAGCAGAGCCATTTGGAGCCTACAACTTGTGACTGTTCCTCCAGGCCCTTTCCTCACTCAGCAGCTGAGGAGTCCAGTGCAGAGTGGAAAACCCCAAGAGGGATGTCCTCCAGGTCCTGTGTTTCCTAGACAGGTCATGTTCACGGAGCCACGGCACTCACTAAGGGGGGGGGGGCTCTGTCCCGAGGCTGACCTGGAACTCCAGTGGTGTCTGGCCATCACTAAGTGTGGGGGGGCTCTGTCTCGAGGCTGTCCTGGAACTCCAGTGGTGTCTGGCCAGGGTCCTGTTCTCATCACTCCTGGTGCTTCCCTTTAAGCATCTCCACAACCCTGGGTTTGGGCACTCACACTGGTCCTGCCTCCCCTCCTCACCTCAGCTGGCTGCGCTAGGAGGTGCAAACAGCAGAGTCATGGACTCCTGCAGTCACCAAGGCTGTCACGGTGCCACCTGGTTTCTGGGGTACTGGTTGACCACATCTCTGGGGATTGCCAATTAAAATGGGACAGGTGAGCTATGTCTATCACTCAGGACCAGAAGTGGGAGACTTGTAGCCCCTCGATCAGGAATCTGAGGTCAGGCTCTCTGCCTTCCAGGGAAGGACTGTTCCACAGGGGATTTCTGCAGCTGTCTGTGTGAGCTCTGTGAATGCCCGCAGGCATGGCTCTGGGCTCAAGGCCTAAGCCAGCCAGGAAGGAGAGATGCCCATTTTCCTGTAAGAAAAGCCGACTTCCTTCCCATTGCTGGAAGAGACTGACCTGTGAATGGTACCTTAGTGCCACTTTCTGAATCAATTGTTTCTGACATATTAGCAAATAATGGGCGAGGAAAATGCAGTAATCCATTCACTTTGATAAATAAAGGGAGCTTTGCTGTTTTGGAAGCAGAGGGATTGAAATAGCGCAGAGGGACATGACTGTCTAATTCGGATGTACGGTGTGTAAATTAGCTGTGTGACTTCAGGGAAATTACTTAATGTCTCTTATCCTCAGCTTCAGTAGGAGGAAATCTTCTGTGAGGCTTAGTAAGCATTGCACAAAGCCAGCTTACTGTTGCCCATTGAACACTAGGGTCTGAGTACATGAGTACAAGTACTCAACACACCACTGAGCTACATCCCCCAGCCTGCTATCTTAAATGGCTATCACACGCTGGCTGTTCAGTCAGCAATAGAACAACATAGCCTACTCCTGCAGACCTGGTCCTCAGCCCCAGGCTCTCTGAATTGTATCTCATTTGATACAAAAGCCTTTTCTTCAGTGAAGGACAGTGTGGCACCTAATCCTGAGAAGGTGCTGCTTGCTTTTATCACTAGAGGCTTCCGCCTGCTTGCTGACCATGCTTGCTGACCTCTCAGCTAGGAGTTAGGGGGTCTGATTTTTCTCTTGACTTTGCCACTCACCTGCCAACCTCTCATAACTGGGCAAGTCCCAGGCTCCCCAGGGCACCAGCTTAGGATTGTCGGGCCTTGGCAACCATTGCATTTAACTGCTTTTCTTTAGACCAGTGCATTGTGGTTCAGGGAAAGGAACACGTCTGTCTAAAGGCACAGCAAAGCAAACATCAGAAGCCAGAAAGCGCCTCCATCATGAGACGCTAACCCTGGGCGCCTAAAAGGACTTCCAGAGTCCCAGTGCCAACCTGGAAATTTCCCAGTTCAGACCTTCAGGAGAAGGCGGAAGTAGCCAGCTGAGACGTCTCTGATCCTGGTTTACAGTAGAGAATTTCCTCTCTCTCTTTCCAGTAGACCTGGTCATCTTGGATACTCCTTTGCCTTCAGCTGCGAGCACATTCAAAGCGCTTTAGTTCTTCAATCCCATGATGCATTCTCAGGTGCTAAAGACACGTGTGAGGCAAGTCTGCCTCAGGAACAAGAGGAGCCTGACCTGAGCAGGCCTACCTTCACCTCTCTGCTTCCTCAGTCTTACCCAGAGGGTCCTGATGCTTAAACAACCATCTTATAGATGCATGCGTGTCCTTCCAGTCACCCATGATTTCCTTGTCCCTGAGACGGTACCTGATGCCGTGAGAGCCTTGTAGTGTCACTAACCTGTTAGTTAGTCCACTAACTAAATAGTTGATGGTTGATGGTTTTTCCTGGAAAAATCAGAAAAGAAAACACTATTTGGCCTTCGTGTGCCAAATAGTGTTCTAGATGCTTCCACATATTCATATATTGTTTAGTGCCCATGATTAAACATTCCCACTTGTTTTCTGAGCTGGAAACTGAGATCACACTCAACTAGAGAGCAATGAAATTGGGGTCCTGGCCCCAGTATTTCTTAGAAACCATGAGTCCATCATCTAGCTATGACTGTTTCTGTTGACCTTGTTAAGAGGTGACAGCCATGAGACCTCAGAGCATGCTGTTTGGCTAGCTGTAAGTCCATCAGACAAGACTGCCACAGCCAAGGGCACTTACTGGCTAAAAAAGGAAGAACTTTCTATACGTGAATTGTGACCAATGGTGGCAGTTGCTGAAGAGCTGTGGCCCCTGTGGGCCGAGGCCCCTGACACAGTGACTAATGCTAGGAACAGCATAAGCAAGAACTGGACTGCCAGTGAAGCAGAAGGTATCAGAAGAGATCCCAGGCTTCTTGTGGGACTGGATAAGATGAGCAATGCCCTGCTCACCTGCTGAGACTGGTATTCTAGACGCAGGTTTGTTATACTCCGTTGGTCTTCGGAGTTTTTGTCTTTCCCTTTATAAAGACATGAGGGAGTGTGGACTTTGAGATCAGAGTGGTAAGAGTCAGGTCCCTTTGCTGCATTTGCTAATCATGGGACTTCAGACCAATTACCAAACCCTCGGACCTCCACTTTCTCTTCTGTGAAATGGAATAATATGACTGACTTTCCTAAGAGAGCTAATGGATGGGTTTTAAATTATGGTGTGTAAAGAGCCGTGCACATGGAAATCCATCTTGCTCCCAGCGGTGCTAATGTTCCTGTGGTCCCTCTTCTATAGTTGTCTCATATAAAAATAGGATTGAGTCTGGGAGATCTCTGTCTGCAGCTGTAAGGGTCTGTGAATCTATTATAAGACCATAGGAACAATAAAGACCTTTGAGTATTTTCATAAATAGAGTTTTCATTCCTATTGTATCAGAACTAATCAACTCCCGTGGGGTAATTAATAAAGACATCCCAGTATTTTGTTGTGAATTAGTATTTCTGTACACTACCCAGTTCTGACTACTCCTTTTTAACATTTTAAGAAGAAAATGATTGTTTTTCCCAACACAATTCTTTCTTAACTTTGCATCCTCCCTTCACCCTCTTGGCTTCAAAACAACAGTGTTCTGGCAGGTGTCTCTGAGTCCAGCAATCTGTCCTTGCCAGAATAAAATAATTAGATTTTAAAAGGAGTCAATTATCTGCCATCGGCTTGAGTAGGAGGAAAACTGAATCCCATCCATCTGTCCCTTTCCTCCCCCCTCACCTCTGTCTTCCTCTCCCTTATACAGTAATCAAGGTTCAGGGATGCTGGCCCCTAGTCACCTGCTAATGCTGAGGAAGTAGCTCACGGCGCATGCCCAGTAGCCACTGTCAGGTGCCAGAGCATTCCCTCGAGAATTTAAACCTGAAATGTAAGAATTACTCCAACCACTTAAGTCAACTCCCAGTGTAACAATTGTCCCGTGAGCACCCAGT